GGTTACAGGGTTACAACGGATAATGGATAATGGATAACGGATAATGTCCTGGAAAATTACTAGTACCTTTTCCATTTTTCTAGATATTTTTCTTACAGTGTACTAACTGATCAACAATCACAGGTACAAGCTACTAACAAGGTGTATCATAAATGAACAATTATTAAATTATTATTGTTATTATCAAATTGAACAACTGCAAAAAGCAATAACTTAATTCATGTGATGTTGTATACTTCTAGGCATCTTTGGTTTCCTCTTTTTGTGAAATTTAGATGGAAAATGTGTGCCTTTTTATTGTTTGAGTCACTTATGAAAAGTTGCTAAAAGTAGCCAAATAAAATTTAAAAATAGCTAAATTTGTTGCTAGGTGTAGTCTGAAAAGTTGCTAAATTTAGCAACAAAATTGCTAAACTGGCAACACTGCTACAGCCGAGACATGCTAGATAATATGAAGATTATAGCCTACTACATAAATGAAAGTATTGATTCCTATTTCTATTTCATACATTTGATTTGAGTTTTTTTTTTTTTTTTTGGTACCGTGTTTGTTCACAGAGAAAGAGAGATTGGCCTAACTTGCAGAACTTATCATTTATCCTCGCTTTTATTTAAGTTGTGGAAGTTTAAGCTGCCGCTTAAAATTATTATTTTTTTTAATTAGGCCCGAAACGTTTTTAATAATTTGGTTCCAAGTTATTTAGTAAATAATTTTGATATGTTAGAGATCAGCATACCTCACTAGGAATTACTGTACAATATTTGCCCATAAATCTATAATTGCCTATACAATTGCATGGAATAAATTGCCAGTGTTATTAAAACCCTCTATGCTATGCATTATGTTCTTACCATGAAATATTTTTTTAAATAAGTTTTTATTACATGAAATAGCTTCAATTATACAAATCAAAACAAAGATTTTTGGGGGGTATTTGGCCAAAAAAAAGTCGTTTTTCTATTAAATTATGATTTTCTTTTCAACTGAAATGCATATTTCTTTTAGAAATTGATGCATTCAATCTTAATTTCCATCCAAATCTGCCACACATACATACAGACACATATACACATGCACACACACACACACACACACACACATACACACACACACACATACACACACACACTCGTATCGTTAGTCACTGAAGGCTAACTCATCCTCATTGTCATCACATGGAAGAGCCACTCTGCACTCATCCTATTGCCCTTTCCGTTAAATATTGCTGTATTCATTTGCTGAAAAGAATAAATAATTTTCTTATTAAAAAATAACAACAATTAAAATAAAATAAGATATCTAAAAATAACACATATATAATGGTAATATGCGGTAAAACTTTTAAAAAGTTTTATGGTCTATGGCACATGAATTCTTTAATATTTCACTTCCTTTTTGCATGAGATATTTAAGTCTGTCATATATCACACTCAGTAAACTGTGAATGTGTGGTTAGATGTTTAGTGGTAGCTATGAGAGAAACTGCAGTTTGTGTACTGTCTTTGTTTTGGTCTGTTTTCAGGTTCATTGGCTCAGCATGTTAAAAGAACTGTTGTTACCTGTGATATATTTTTATACCATTAGCATGAAATTGCACTACACTCATTATATCTTCAGAGTTGTTTATATCACTGGTTTGCACTCTAACTGCCATGTGCCTTATGCCACTTTTTCTATCTCTTTTCTTTTTTTCTTTTTTGTTTTTTTTTACAATGTCCTTATTTATATATTGTATAGGTTGTATTTTATATATTTTTCGCTCACCTCAGAATGTTTGCTACAGATCTTCTTGTATTCAGCTCTATTCTATCAGGTTGGTATTTTTCAT